TCCTGTGGAGTTATTGACAGGGGACTCGGCTGGTCCACAAGGCTGCGCCCCCTGCTGGGGTGCAGGGGAGGGGGCGGGGCTGGGAGCTGTCACCAGAGTGTGCAGGACCCTGGGTGAGGGGAGGTCAGGGAGCTGTGCGCGGGAACCAAGGCCCCTCGGGGGCCCTGCCCAGCAACCAGAGGGCACTCGGGGTCGCGGGCACAGGCCCCGCCTCTGCCCTCCGTGTCAGGCAGGAGCCTCGGCCACCCCTTCTTTTGAGACTTCTTTTAAAGGCAAGGACCACGATGACCAAGAACTGCCCTTTGCGCTGACACCCCGGGTCAAAGGAGGTCCGCGGGCTGCTTGGCGAACCATGCCGGTTCCAAGGGTCCCAAGGGCAGAGGACTGCGTTGGGGGCGGGGCAGGGAAGGACGGGGCCACCACACTGGCACATCACACTCTCGTGTGTCTTTCCATCCCCTCTCTCTGCCCAAGCCAAGGGTCCCAAGGGCAGAGGACTGCGTTGGGGGCAGGGAAGGACGGGGCCACCACGCTGGCACATCACGCTCTCGTGTGTCTTTCCATCCCCTCTCTCTGCCCAAGGCCACCTCCTGGGGCCACACAAGTTGTACACGGCAAACCGGCTCATCCTAACGGAGCAGCCTGGCTTCCAGCCCTCAGGGGCTACGACCCCACCCAACCGCACATGCTTTGCCGAAACTGGGAGCCTGTCTTAGGTCCTTTACCTGGGAACAGGTTGTGGTCCTCTCGTGTGTCTTTCCATCCCCTCTCTCTGCCCAAGGCCACCTCCTGGGGCCACACAAGTTGTACGTGGCAAACCGGCTCATCCTAACGGAGCAGCCTGGCTTCCAGCCCTCAGGGCTGTGACCCCACCCAACCGCACATGCTTTGCAGAAGCTCAGAGCCTGTCTTAGGTCCTTTACCTGGAAACAGGTTGTGGTCATCGTCCCTCTGCTCCGTCTGTCATTAAACCAGCATTCACGGAGGGAGTGTTCTGTTTCGCTTGTCTGTTTGAATGAGTGACTTCTGTCTTCCTCATTAACTTCAAGTAAACATTTCAGAAATCCTGGCCTCAACCCCTCAGAAAGACAAATGGGATCCAAACCTCGCCGTGGGGAAGTCAGTCTCAGGGCGCCCCATGGCAGGGGTGAGGAGACAGACCTGAAAGGCTGTGGCAGCGTCAGCTGCGATGTAAAGTCTACCCCTGGCCTGGTCACTGAAGAAGCGTGTGCGCACGACGGTAAATGCACTCGGCAGAGCGCATGGCACGTCTTTAACGCTGAACTGTAATTCATTGTTGCCGAACGCCTTGAAGTGCCAAACACCCGCTGGGTGCAGGCATTCAGGGACGAATTGTGCAAACTGCGGCCACCAAACAGCAGAGCAAAGTCCCCACCTCTGTGACAGGCGGGGAAGACAAAGCCAACGCAGAGCAGGCAAAGCGTGAGAAAGATCAGACGGCCTTTTCCTTCGTGCTTTTGATAGAGACAGCGCTGCGGCTGGGCCGTAAGACCCCTGTGATGTGTGGTGACCAGCGAGCAGGAGGTGGGGACAGGTGCTGTCCCGCTCGGGACGGTGGCCTCGGCTCACCACACCGGAGTCGCCCATTTCCATAGAAGCCAGACCCTCGATGTTTTGTGAATTCTGCCATTTCTAAATATTTACTCTAATTAAAAAAGAAAAACACTATTAATGCCGAATAAAATGTCTGCCAGCTGCTTTGATTGAAGCAGCCGCTTTGTTAAGCTAGAGATGAACGAGCTATAATCAGCTGGTTATCGTCAGTTATTTTAAAGTGGATGTTTCCTGTTGTGACTGCAAAACTTAACCTGCAGTCTGTCAGAAGTCAGAGTCCAAATGAGTCGAGATCTGCATCACCGGTCAACACCGGGACGTTTGCCTCGGACGCTGGGTAACTCCTTGCCATTACTAGTTATTTCTGCCCGGCTGGCTTTTCTGACACATTTCTAGAGCCTATAGTGCCATTTCTTTTCTAACTTTTGAAACAAGAACGCAGCTGCCTGGAGCCGTTTTAGAAGGTCCAACGGGAAAATGGAAGCAAAGCCCCTTGGCCCTGAGTGACAGCATGCCGCTGACAAACCATCCTGGGCTGTCCAGGGGGCTGGCTGATTTTGATCTTTTATCTTAAGCCACTGAAGCATATGAAAGGCGGTGGGTCTCTGAAGTGTGGGCACACCTTCCATGAGGAGACTGGCGCCTCTGGGGGAGGTCGCTCCCACACCCCAGCCCCTTCCTGCTTAGAGGGCAGCTAGAGCAGGTGGTGTGTTCAGGTTTTATGTCAACATAAGGTTGGCGGGACTCCTTTAAAACAGGAGAGGCTCCTGCAGACGTGGACATGGCCCCGAAGCTTCCCACAGCTCACCCTTGGGTGCCAAGGCGCTGCCCTCTGCCCTCGTCTTGTGCAGGATTTACACCTCACCTCCCCTCGCCCTGAGACCGTCCGAGCCGGCCTACAGAAAAGACGCGCGTACACCGCAGAGCTGTAGAGTCACAGCTGTAAAGAACAGAGCCGGCTGCTGGCCCTGCTCCCAGCCCCTGCTGTCCCCTAAGGACCTGGGCAATGGCCGGAAGAGCCCCTTGCTCCAGAGCCACTGCGCTCACTCCGCTTCCCCAGTCACGGCCCAGCACGAGGCGCCTCATGCCGGGATGCGGAGCTCTCTACGCCCGGACTCGGCCTGTCCTTTCACTGCGTCGTCATCTCTTTGCCAGGTCACTTTCCCCTGCCCGGGGCAGCTCCGATGACTCCTCACGCGCCCCCTCCCCACCCCAACCTTCTAAAGTCTCAAACTCCCCGTGAGGCTTTTCTCCTCTTTCCCCAAACTTGCCGTCCGTGCTTCCACAGATTGACCTTTTGCGAAGCTGTCTGTCACAGGGCGGGCTCTCTGAAAAAAAGACTGTAAGGTGCAAATAGCCACGATGCTGAGATGCGCAGCGTTCAGTAGAGACTAACACCCAACAAAGGAGGAGCAGAGACACAGGACCCACGCAGGGGACAGTGCTGCGGACCCAGCTTGGCCAGCGTGGCTAGCCTGGCGCTGAGCTCTGGGGTGCATGCCACCTCGCAGAGGCGTCCTGCCTGCGGTCAGCTGGACTTGCACATGCCCGCCTTGCTGGGTCACCAGATGCAGCCTGCCCCGCGAAGGGAGTGGCTTCGGGAAGGTGGCTCTCTGCAGCCGAGGCAGGTCCTGAAGGAGCCGGTGGCTCGTGGCTGTCTGTCGACCACACTCCCTACAACTCGGTAGCAAGTCCTTCTTGGAAAAGAGCTCCGGGCAGCGCACGTCTGCGCTCGCCACACTGCCCCAGGCTAATCCTCCTGAAACCCGGTCACCCATGAGCTCTAGCAGCCCTGCAGGTGACGAGAAGCCAACAGTTCACTCCTCTCTTCACGGGCACTGGGTCGCACATGTGCAAGAAGGTGACCCCAGCCATCTCATCTGGCTGGGTTCCTAGAACAGAGCGTCCCAATCAGAGATCTGGACAAGGGATGAGCCTCTCCAACTCATCCCAGTGTGAAGAGTAAACGTTACCATTTTTAAAACTTTGGGATGCACTGCTCTAGAGTCATTTACTTTCGGCCCTTCATCCGTCACCGATCATATATGTATTGGACATCTACTCTGCATCAGGCACCGAGCCAACCCTTGGAGGCAGAGTGGGGAACAGGTCGCATAAGGTCACCGTCACTGAGGCACGTACAGTCTAGCGGAAAAGACTGAACACGCAAACACAGAAACAGAAACAGAATTAGAAACAGCGGTAAGTGCTCCAGGACGGTATAGGAGAGAATGACGAGGTCGGAGACTCGGGTCGGGACGGTGAGGAAGTCAGAGCGGCTGACAGGCACCGGACCTCGCGGGCCCTGGAGGTCACGGAACGGTGTTGACGCGGCAGTTCTGCGCGGGAAAGGCAGGGCAGCGGCGGAGGTGACAGGAAGGCCAGTTAAGCGCACGTGCGGTCATCCAGACTGCAGCGATGACACGCTTTGCCGCGGATACGGGGCCATGGAGACGAGTGGAAGGATCCAGAATCTGCTTTTAAACAAGAATCACTCCTTCCTGCTCTCGAGAGATTCACAGTCCATGGGAAAGACAGAAAGGCAAACCAACTGTTAAACATAGCAAAATAGTTCCCGTAATGAAAACATACAAGGTGCAGAGGGAGCACAGCGTGGCGCGTGGGAGACTTCCCGCAGCCCGGGTGTTGGAGCTGGGCAGTCGAAACGTCCGGAAGCATTTGGCGAGTGGACTGTGCTTCCAGCAGAGGTGGCGTGTGCCCGGCCGTGTGCGTGGCGGCCTTGATCATGCGCCTCGCCGACCTCCACCGCCAGGGGCCTTCGCTGAGCGGGCGGCCCGGCCACCACGGCTGCACCGCCCCTGTCCGCACCCCTTCCACGGTGCTTGTCGCTTCTTTTATACAAATCTGTTTGCAGGACGGTTTTTCTCCCCAGATGTCAAGCTTCCGGAAGACAGTCTCCGTCTTGTTTATTTATCGTAGCAATAAATATTTCTTGATGAATGAACGAAAGTCTCCTCTAGTGATCCCACCGCTAAACCCTGGTCACACCTTGACTTTCCAGCCCTCCTCGCTTAACCTCCTATCGGTGGGAATTTCAAAGGCGAGGCCTTCGGGCGCGCGGTCTCTCTGCTCGCGCCTTGAGGGTGACGCTCCTGTTCCCCGCTTTCGTGCCTTTTCGTGGGCCACCTTGTACTGATCGGCGGACTCAGAGGGTTGTCCAAAGACTATTACATGAAATGAGGGAACGAAAAATGGATTTAAATCAATGTGCAATAGGCAAGGACTGACTCATGGGCTTTTACTCCTTTCTTGATCCCCAGGATGATGAAGTGACTTCACCTGCTGGCATCTACTTAACGCGTCCCCAGCATGTCTGCTGAAAACAGCCAGGCACCAGTGGGTCCATCGCCTCTTCACTCCCCCACCACCTCCCAGCAATCCACCCAGACCTTCTCCTCAGAGGAAGAGGATGCTGAGGGAGAGAAGGAGAGTCCGAAGGAGGAACCTTCATTTTCTAAAGAAGACGAGTTTCTGGGGGAGAACGGGTACCTGGAAAACTATGCGGAGGAAGATGAGTATCTGCAGGAGGCACAGTTTCTCACAGCAGAGGGCTATCTGTACGCACGCGACTATCTGTATAAAAACCAGTATCTGAAGTGGAGAGAGTACTTGCAGAAGGAAGTGGGTTCGAATGAGCAAGATTATTGGTATGAAAACGATTATCCGGAGAGCAGAGAGAACTTGCCGAAGGAAGTAGCTTCGAATGGGCAAGATTATTGGTATGAAAACGATTATCCGGAGAGCACAGAGAACCTGCAGGAGGAAGTAGCTTCGAAAGAGCAAGACTATTTGTATGAAAACGACTATCCGCAAAGGGGTGAGTAACTGTCTGGAGGACAGCCTCCCAAGAGATGGGAGCTTTAGTTCGCCCTGCCCTGGCCAGGAAAAAAAGAACACACTTGAGATCTAGCCACAGCTTGAATTATCAGCACTGCCTACGGTGCCAGTGGGCAGGGCTGACCGAGCTCTACTGCAAGGCGGACAGCTGTGCCCTGGGTGCTGTGCCAACACAGCAGACAGGGAGGCTTGAGGGACATAAAGCAGCTGCTCGTGAAAAGACATACGCCATAGTTTGTATTTTTTCTTTTCTTTATTGCATAAGTAATACGTGTTCATTGTGGATGTTTGAGAAACTGTGTATAAGCAAAAAAGAAAGAAAGAAAGAAAGCTAAAATCACTGCCATCCATACATGATAGTTTCTTTCACAGAGTCCTCCCTAGACTGACTCTACATAGTGCTTGTAACCCGCTTCCGAAGGTACATTTGTTTATACACTTCTATATTGTAATTATATATAAATGTTAGATACTTATATGAATATCATTAATTAAATTTTCTACAAATCATTGTATTGTGTAATACAATCGTAGAATACGAACTATAATATTGTCAATCGATCCCCTATTATCGATCATTCATTCATTGCTCCTGATTTTTGTTACTTTTTTAAACAGCACTTTGATAAACGTCCTGAATTTTTTCAGCGACCTCTACTTATTTCCCAGAATACATTCCCATCATCTGTCGCTAGGTCAACGGACACCAGTACGCTTCTCGGGGGGACCAGTGGGCCCCCAGATGGCGTCATCTTACCCTGCTGGGGGTATTTAACTTCACAGTGGTCTCCCTCAGCCCGGGACTGATATTTTTCCAGTGCTGTTTCTGCAGTTGGCAACTTTGCCTGAAGCTGGTTTTCATTCTCTGGCAGTGGCCCCTCTGTGCTGTCGTCGGAAGTGGTTGCTGTGCCTTCTCTCACAGGCATCTTCCCTCGATACTGTGACCGCCAGGCCGCACCCAACGATGCACAGAAAGTTAAAAACCTAGGTCCTGTGCATCATCTTAATGTTGACCTAGAAGTAGAACTAAACTATTTTTCTGGATCTGGTTCTGCTACCAACTCCAAGCATCTCAGGCAACTTGAATTTTTAAATCTCCATCGGATCACACACAACCTGCATCCTAAAAGCTGGATGTTCGCGGCAGCCACACAGACAATTTACCCTTACGTCCCTCTCCATCAAATCAGATGTATCATCCTTGAATCCTGCTGCCCTCATGGACCTTTAGTTGGGGCATTGGAGACATAATTCCTCTATACTGGGGTGACTCTCTTCCCTGCGGGCCTCTACCATGAAGCTCCCTCTCGGAATGTTAATATCCCAGCTGTTCAAGTCCTAAGTGCAGTTTCGATACCGAAAAACGGCATCCAGGCCATTCCTTTGGCACAGTAGAATCGATCGTTCTTAACATGCCCCCTCCATGCACTGGCCTTTGTAAATACATTACCTACTAGAGTAGGGCAAATACGATGCTGTAGAGAATAGCACTGTGTATAAAGTAAGAGCTCTGAAAACAAATGCCCTGCTAGTGAACATTGGAGAGGCACAGAAAAACCCGTAGGGGAATGCTAAACGGCCTTAAAAGGCACGGGGAAGAACGTCTTAGTCTACAAAAGCCCATTGTACAAGCGGTTTACAAGAGGATTCTTAACTTTTCAAAAGAATTTATATTAAGATTCTTTATGTGAAATAGTCTTCCAATATCTTTAAGATGTAACTGTGTCTGCCCCTTGTTTTAAGCCTCGGAGCATGACGACAGTGCATTCCTGACCCACAGCAGACGCTCAGGAGATGCAAACTGAATCGAGTTCGGTTTCATTCACTTCATAAAGACAGGCGTGCGTGTGCGCGCACACACTCACGCATGCGCACGGCAGCGTTTATTTTTATAAACTGCTTTGTGAATTAGTTGGCACCTATAACATGAGCCCTACATGTGACAGATGGGCTCCCATCTTTTGTGCAGATGGATAAATTATTACAGGTTAGGGATGGAGCGCTATGTTTAAAAGGATTCTGAGGCTCCGTTTGGGCTCAGCAAGCAACACCTGCCACAGGATCGGGGCAGGGGGAAGAGCGCAAGTGCCATTTATTTGTCTGTCTGGTGGCAGACACCTCTCGGGAGCTTGACTGCCTAGGTCTGAATGCCAGCTCCCTCCCACTTATTGGCTGCACAAAGTCGGGCAAGTCACTTACCCTATGTGCTTCGGTACACCTCTCGGGAGCTTGACTGCCTAGGTCTGAATGTCAGCTCCCTCCCACTTATTAGCTGCACAAAGTCGGTTTCGGAATTCTTAACTATAACTAGAAATAACAACTGACCTACTTTATAGGATGTGTGTGAGGAGTCAAGGGGTTAAATTACATTAAGCGCCATGAGCTATACCAGGCTCCTAGCATTTTAAGCCTCTCTCTCTAAGTGCAGTTATTATCCCCTTCCTGTTGACTTGAGAAGGGTAGTTTACACGGCCCCGGCCGCATTTGACCCCTCTGTGAAAGGGACATTATAAAAAGACAAGAGGAGATGCAATGAACTAGAGTGTGGGAGCAATCTGTGCCCCGCACCCAACCACCTTGTAGGCAGGTAAACTCCAGAGCCTCCCATTGCACTGGCCCAATCAGTATAGGTCAGACTAACAACCCGTCTCTCCTCTCTTCTTTAAAGGGATGATTTTCCCCCACGGTTTGTGAAAAGCCAATAAAATGAGAGAAGTGACTTGAATACAAATGCAGCCTCAATTGCCACTGAATAATTAATAACCAGTCATGACTGATCTCACCCGGAGGTTTCAAATAGTTTTTGTAAAATGTGTGTAAATGCTCTGGGGTCAGCGTCAGAAGATCCAGCACGTGGTGGGCACCTTGACCTTGGCCTGTGTGCCACTTACTTGCTCTAAGTTTCGGTTTCTCCGTGTGTAAAACTACAGTGTGGCCGTGCTAATTAAAAGAAAGAACCCATCTGAAAGACCTCCCACATCGTACAATTAATTATAAGGTGTAAAAATACTCTTCAGACCTCCCAAGGTGCAGGAAGGTACTGGAAGAAGCACAATCTACGTTACTATCAGGCTGTCAGAGAACAAGAAATCACCCTGAAACGCGGGCTTTTTTGTTTTCTAGACCCTAAGACATCCCTAAAGATGAATTCTGCTCGGCGGCAAAACCAGCGAAGGTTGCCACAGTCTATGAATTCTGATTCATCATGGGTTTCGCTTAACAGTATCGATACACGTGTTCTGCTGGATTTGACTGTCTGTACCCTTGCTGTCTCTTCTTCGCTGTTTGCCTTAACTGCTTTAATTCAGTTGCCATTTCCAATAGCAAGTTGGTCTCCCCACAATCATTTCCAACAGAGACCCTAGAAATTCTGCATGTTTAGGAAGGAAGGTACAAGACAGACTGATAAGGTGGGGGTGCAGACCAGCCGACTTGTCAAGCAGGAAGTTCACTGATTGTGGCCAAGCTCCCCAACCAGTGGGGGTGCAGACCAGCCGACTTGTCAAGCAGGAAGTTCACTGATTGTGGCCAAGCTCCCCAACCGGTATGCCTGGAATCAGCAACTGATCGGGGGAGATGCTGAGCCCAGGAGCCGTCACCCCCCAGACCCCGCTCTGCTCCCACGCAAGGAGCACCATTTTCTGTGTTTCTTGCCCCAAAGAAGGTCATGAGCACAGTCCAATGGCATAGTGTGTCTACATGTATTTCACGATCTTTGTCTGCTTTAATTTTCCCAGCCACCATTTACCCCCCACCTGACTCACGAGGAAGCTGGAGTCGGAGAGAGGGCACGTGACCGCTCCGAGGTCACGGAAAATCAGGGGCGCAGCCCAAGCCCCCCCTTCTTTCCCCTCCGACCACTTCCTCTTCTCCTTTCCTTCCTCCTTTCGTCTCTTGTTTCTGCTTTTTAATCAATTATGGCCATATTTTAATTTTAGAAGACTGATATAAAAAGAAATAAAATGTACTTTTGTCTATTTTTAGCAGAAGATTTGAAAAGCAGAAAAACATCACCCAACTCGCCAACATCAAAGTATAAGTAAAGCTGATTCGCATTTCAGTGATTTTTATTCCGTCCTTTCCACCCTTATTGTCTGCATTTTGGGTGGTGGTGGTCCTCGTTTTGTTTTGTTTTGTTGTTTTTTTTTTAATATTTTAAACGTACTGTAAATGCGAGTTTACATTTTATTTTTGCCTGTGTTACTTAATTTTTGATGGCATCGTTTTAATAGCCAAGTAATATTCCTCGATAATATTCTGCCACATAGGTAAACTCCGGAAACATGTAAATGTTGAACATTGGTTTCGAATTCCAATTTTCTGATTCTCATTTCTTTACTATTTCCACTCTGCCATTCTCTTGGAATTGATGGCGTATTTTATCCCAATTGCACGTGAAATTCTTGACGTCATCATTCCAGGCGAACAGTGATGTGGTCGAATTACACGAGCAGATTCTTTAAAATTAAAAATAATTTTTAAAATACTTGTATCCTCTGAATCTCGGTCACCTGTGTTGTACAGATATCCTTCATCCCATGACACGGAGGTCCCTGTGACAACCCAAAAGATTAACACGGCAAACTAGAATTTCCAAAATCACGATTTCATAAAAATTATCTTCTTCAGCTCTCTTTGATTTTGCAGAAGTTCAACGTCAACTTCATAATTGCCAAAGGAAACCATTTAGGAAGACAAAACTAAGGAAAAGAAAAAATTTTTTAATTCTCTAAATCAGGACCTCTCCACCCCGATCCCAGAATTACATACTTAACAACACATTTTTAAGTAGAAAGGAAAATGGTTTCTTTTTTTCCAACCTTGTCTTTCTCTTCTTCTTCCCAATAGAATTCGAGGTGGCCTCTACATCGCAAACCCAGCCTAAACTTGATATAAGGTAATAGTTTTCTTTTGAGATAAATCAGGTAGAAATTCACGCTTAGGGATGATGCCTGGGGAGCCTTTCGATTTCCAAGGACA